CCCCAAAACCCCAAAACCCCAAAACCCCAAAACCCCTTTGGTTAAATTAAATATTGTATAATTTTAAAATGAAGAAAAAGGAAAACTCAGCTTCAAACTTAGAACCAGAAAGCAAGCCTTTGAATATTCGAAACAAGAAGAATCTAAAAGTAATTGCAGTTTAAAAATACTTTAGATATTCAAAAGTAGCTCTAAAAATGCTCAAAATGCCCAACCGACTAAAACTCCTGTTAAAAACAAAATGAGCATCCGTAAGTTTTATAACTTTACCACAGCTGACGAGTATAAAACCAAAGAATTGGTAATGCTTATGGAGGAACGTGAAAGGGAGATGCTTGATGAGGGTAGTCCCTACTTAACTTTTTAGAGAAAAAGAAAGAAGGTGAAAAGCAAATGTTGCTCAAAGCCATGAACTTGACTCCATTGAAGCCTCAAGGAAGGTTCAAGCCTCTATTCACAAAGACTCTTAGAGATCCTGAAGAATTTATGAAACAAGGAGTGTTTGAAGACTTAAATCTGGAATTGAAGGGAAAACATATTAATGAAACTCAGATTGAGGAGCCTGAAAAGGTAGCTGCTGTCGCTGTCAATCTTTTTGCAAAGAAAGTTCAAAAGATAGACACAGATATTCGCCAAAGAACTAGTATCAGACCCTCAGATTTAGGAGAAGACCGCAACGAGGATAACTTTTCAAACCAGTTTAAATAAATCAGACCAACTTGAGCACAGAAGCAGGATCAAAGAAAAGATGCAAAGGGATGAGATACTTAAGAAGATGCCTGCTCCTTCAAGTTTGCTCTCTTCCATTAGCTCTGAATTTAAAGGTAAGACATTAGACTATACTCTAGAAAGAACACATAACAGAGATCTCGGCAGTTCAAATCGTGAAGAAAATACAGATATTCTTAGCTCTAGCAATATCCTTGACAAAAGGTAGCCCTCTATGGAACTAATTTTGTAAAATTTTAGGTCTATGGCAAAAGGGAGCTCTGACATTGCTCATTCAATCAATGAAGGAGAAAAAGATCTAAACGAAACTTATAAAGACCTAAAAACAAAGTTAAAATTCAAACAAGTTGAACTAAAGAAGGCTAAATATGAGATAAATAAGGCTAAAAATAACTACATCCTTAGAGAAAGTCTTGAGAAGGTCAAACAGGCTTGAGAACAGGTCAAAGAAAAGAAAAAGCTTTCTATTCTTGAGTTGACAAGAAAGAAAAAGATTCTTACCAAGATAAAAGCTAAGTATCAAAGGGCTAAAGGTATAAAAATATTTAACCCATAGAAATGACTGAGACCAAAACTGCACAGCAAATTGTACCTTTTGTATCATTTTTAGATGGACCAGAGGAAGGAAAATATGATTCAGCAAAAGCAAATTCTTAAACAAAAGCTTTCAGAGACTATTGCAGTCGACTCAGAGATACAATACACTTATGCTTTAATCAGCTGAATTTCGTGCAAAGTTAAAATTGAGCAGATGAACAGTAAAGCTTTATGCATCTATACTGCATATCCAAAGTTTACATCGAGTACGTTTGAGTACAGAGTCAAAGGGTTAGATACAAGGCTTGATCCAATGCTTGTCATTCCTCGGCTGTATTTTAGATTGAAATCAGAAGGAGCCATTTCTAAAGACACCCACGAAATCGAGAATGAATGCACACTTGAGCTTTCTTGATACAGTATTTACCTAATAATATATATAGAGGCAGATTCTTGCCCTCGAAAACTAGCCAAGCTATATTTTGGAGATGAAGATGCTTACAAGTCTCCAAACAAATCTGGAAAAATAGCTAATCTTATAAGTTCAGATTTTGAATACCCCTCTTGTGTAGATGATGCTGATGAAGAGTCTTCCAAAAATGAAGAAGAAGCTCTTGCTGACAAGAACATGTTCTTGACAAAGATCAGTATCAAGGAAGATTTTGGGTAAGTTTCAGGTTAATTTGTATCATTTATTTTTAAAATTTAAGCTTAATTAATATGTATAGACCAAGACTCTACATAACAAGATTCTTATTCTCAAAGTAATTAATTCTTCTAAAGTCTAGAAGCACTGATTTCGAGCCAAAATGACTCGAAATTGACATGGATCTTAACAAATTCCTCCACTGATCTTTGATAAAGCTGAAATAGCTTGGAGAAGAATGAAAAAGACATTACTTCGTCTTCAAAATCATTAAGACTCTCAGGTAAAATAGAGGAGGTTATTTCTGAGTAAATTGTGCTGGTTATTTATAGGAACTTTTACAAAAAGAGTCATAAAAATGTCAGGTATGCTTCTCCTTGATTCTTTAGAGAGTCTTTAAGTCAACTTCATAAAAACAGACAGCTTTCAGAAGCAGGTTTTTACAACCCCATAGATCACTACAAAAGTGAGGAGGAGGATTTAGGTAATGACGAAAGGAACTCTCCTAAACCAGAAGTGCCACTCATTCAAAAACAAAATGAAGAGATTTTACAGAAGTTAATGGAGCTGCTGTCAAGAAATATTTAAAATATCTTCAATATAATTTGAATCCTTCGGGGTTTTGGGGTTTTGGGGTTTTGGGGTTTTGGGGTTTTGGGG